ACCCCTTCTACTTCAGACTTGAGCGAATTTGTAGACCTGCTGCTCTCCTCTCTCAAACACTTTTAGTGTAGTTTTACCTATAGTCATACCTGCACTCATTCACATCTGTTACGAATTTCACTCAGTATCGGCTAACGAGTAAGTGTAAAAAGGGAAAAACATGCGAACGAATATTTGTTCGGGTACCAACTTGATACTTAAGTCTTTTATGAGTAGAGCGAAAAAAAACTTGAAGATTGATGAACATTAGTCGGGTATAATAAAACAAAGCCTTACCTGATATCCATCGTAGATGTCCAGGATTTGATTCAGTCGCTGACACACATTTCGCATAGAACACAGCAGAGTAAAATCACTCTGATGACCCAAAATTCGATAGACAAGTTCTACCGGTAATGTAACTAAACTTGACATGATTTTGTTTGTCTCTAATAGAAACTGTTGTAATGTATCATGTGTTGTTGCTTGTATTTGTTCTCTTAAAATGCGTATTGACTTCACCTGTGTCGTTTTCTTTCTATTGATGGTGCAATTACGCATTCGAAGAAAGAAAGGTAGAAGAAAGAAGCCGATGACGAAATGTCCTTCTTGTGCAAATAGGTAGGAATAATGTTTTGATTGGTAGAGGTTTAGCGATACCATGGAGTATGATAAATTTTAAAATATGGTAATTTTCACTATTAAAAAAACGATAGTAAGACACTATGTACGTACATACTTGGTGTTTTTTTATTAAAAGAATCGTTAAAACATGTATTTTAAAAGAACGAAAAAAAAGTACTTTCTCATTAAATGGTTGTGTCGCCATCTGCTAGCGTCTCTCAGTGTCGCATTCTTAATAGCCATTTTAAGGAGTCCAACGAATTAAGAGAAAACATGGACGCTGTTGTAGAAACACACGGAATCATGTCCTATCAGGTTAATTTAGCCGCGTGGTGCGGGTATGGATCTGAGTAGGAATGAAACAGAGATAGTCACCTACACCCACCCACTCTCAAGATGGTATATGCATAATATTATTGCACAGATAGATGGTGCAATATATCGATATTCAGTAATAGAGGTTTCACTGTATTATTAAACATATATAATACGAAACGATGATATGACGCATCTCTTTTTTGTATCCTGTCCACGTTGTGAAAGAGAGGATGTGTCCTTGAGAGAGATAAACAAGCGTCACTGAGTAGAAAAAAATCATTCACTACCTTCGAACGATATATATTCGAGACAGCGATTATTGATCAAGCAAAAATCAACTTCATTTATTCAAGTGTTACTTTGATTGTAAGTAGGGTTGTATAATTCTTGAGTTTTCATATTATGACACAAACTAACAGTAGACAAAAATAAAATGAAAACAACAACGAGCTACCAGAAACAATAAGCATTTATATTTATTAATCACTTAGAGTAATGAAGAATGAATTCACAGTCGAGGACGATTAGAAGTATACACATAGCTGTAATACTTCTTTCTAATTTTTCCTTAAAAATACTCACAGAGAATCCTAGTATTTCACATAGACAGAACGTCGAAACGGGTTTCCAGATTCCTAACTTAGTCACGAATTTCGCTGATATCTTTTGAATATTTCAATTCAAGGGTAAATACTTACTATCACAAGAATTTGGGGTGCTATCGACTATAAACGAAAGACTTTTTTGCAGGCAACCCCCAATATTTCATTCAACATATTTACGTTTAACGTCATAAGGAGTACTGTGCATCTAGATCAAAACTTTTGAATGTCAAAGTCTATAAAAAGAAGATATTGTATGAGAAGTGAATTTTGTGAAACATAATAAAATTTAGTATAGATGAAGACGAAGAATGTATTTCTTTGATACTCAATCACTGTCAACAATTTTTTCAAGTCTTCATCACGACAAAATAAAACTTCTACACTCTTGTGCCTGACTGATATCACCATTACTTTGTTTATATATTGATCTGTATGTTTTCAGCTAACTATTTTATAGGCTTTCGAAAAATGATTGTAATCAAGATGGAGAGTGAAGTTTTACTCTACAAATGTGCCGTGATAATCTCCAGCTTTGCACCAATTTCAATGGGTCTCTTTGGATTTCTAATTGGCCCACAATCAGCTACTCTATCAATAGGCAGTCTAAGCTCTGCTCAAAGTCAACAAGATTATTCAATATCATTGGATTGTCACTATCGTTATTTATCAGGATTACTGTTAGGAATTGGTCTATTGTTTTTGTATCTTGTGACAAGAGTTTTGGAAAAAGAAACAAACAGAATTCTGAAAATGCTTACTTTTATTGTTGTACTAGGTGGATGTGGACGTCTGTTGAGTTTGGGAGGATTCTATCAAGGTCAAGTGAAATCAGTGAATGGTAAAATGTTATTGGGATTATTTATGGAATTAGTAGTCACACCAACGTTGTACATGTGGCATAATAGAATCATGAAAATTACAGACACGTCAACAAAAACAAAAGTTCAGTAACAATTTTTCTCAAATTGGCAAGTCAACAAAAATATAATAAATATTATAATTTTTTAAGACTTTTTATTGATTTTTTCAAAATTTTATGTTAAATTAACGTATACAAAAAAATAAACAAGAGAAAAAAAAGAAATAATAAATAAGGAAATAGGGTAAGTGTGTGTATGGGTGTGCATTTTCACTCAAGCCACCTCTACACTCTTACAATCACCAAGACTTTCTTGTACTTTTGTCATAAATAAAGTCTTTTATAATACTAAATGTCTTCTTCCGTTACTACGTATTCTCATACACTCTGAATAGATATTTGACGAAGCAAGCAGCTAATATAAAAGAAGTAATTTCTGCATCTCATTACAATATGAGGTCATTTTCAAGCTAAGTATGGTACCTATTAGTTCATTCTGAATAGTTCTAAAATAGTTTGATGCTGCGACATACAATTAATAGTACTATTGTGCTTCTAAATAAACAATAGTTACTTGATGAACTTTTCAATAAGCTAATATTTTGATATCTTTAGATATCAGAATATCTTAGAAAGTAGTGAAAAATTGTGTTTAGTTTTATGTTAGATAAAATAAGAACGATACTAATAAATTTTTTATTATAAACATAACAAACTGCATAGGGTGTGAGCGTGTGTCCATCTTCCACACCCATCTCTTGTTACATGCATTTGAAACAAAAACGATTTTGTCTTCTTATCACTAGATCAAACATGCTTGACAATATATTGCTCTTACTGCATTCTTCAAACATTTGCACGCTTTTTACAATCTTTATCAATTCTTATTCATAGAATGTAGGCAGTTTTAAAATGCTTCACTTTGATTGCCTTTCATCATATACAACATCAACATGGTAATAAACTCTAAAAAAACATTAATTTTTCATAGAATAATCGATACAAAATCTCATCTTTAAAACTCATGAGCAAATAGCGTCGTCCTCTATTTCATTTTTGAGTCTGAGATCCTAATTAGTTTTGAATATATATTGAAAACAGCTCATATTGCTAGTATTTTATACTATCAACATTCATCATTTTTACGATATGTTTCATAGAAATCCGTAGATGTATCAGACGTGTCATAATGAGAATACTTTATTTCGAAAGTTTCAGATCTTTTAATTGATTCTCTTGTTCGAACTATGGACATTAACATTAAATCGATGTATCTGAGCAGTGTAAAAACATAATTATATCTTAGAATAGAATCGATTAAAAGATCTAAATATTTCACAATAAAGTATATTTTTATTGAGAACTATTCATGCAGTAAAATTTTCGATAATAACTGTTTTTAGCTATCACTGTTCAACTCTGACTTGGTAGTAAATCAAGTGCTAGAACGTCAAACGGTACCGTTTAATGATCCTCAAATATCAAGAGCTAATACATCAGCAATCCAATCACATTTGTCACTCTTCTTTCGAAAACTCATCGTTATATTGATTCTTTTTCTTACTTCTATCGTCGCATTGAGTGCGATAGTTATCGGAATTCTTGGAATTACTCGGCAATGCGAGGTGACTGATCAACCATCAATTCCTGTTTGGTTGCTGACTTCTGGTATATTATCGTTGATAATCTCTATTTGGATTATAGTAATGGTAGATTTTTAAAATATTAACTTGATTATATATCAGTCACCTTATTGTCTATATAGATATGGGTCTCCATTACTTACAAATATAAATCAAGTGACAGACAATTTAAGATACAGATGTTTATTGCTCTTACTCTTGTTGGCGTGCTTGCAGCATGGACTTTTGGAGTAAGCAAAATAGCTTTAATTCAGGCGTTTAAAACTTTTACATTTCGATATTTTTAATAGGGAATAAATTCAATGCTCAATGATCCTACTTTATCGATAGAATGTCTTGGATTCGTCTTTCAGTATGGAGTTATAGTCTATTTACTTATGTTTATAAGTATTATGGTTTACTGTGTATGTTTCTTTCGTATGGCTAAGAAAGCAGGATACTTCAGGCGTTGTTGCAATAATAAAATCCATGAAAACCTTCAATTTCAACCTGATTTACCGATGTCTAATTCAACACAATCTAACATAGAACAAAATAATATAGCTAACTCAGTACCGAATGTTCAAAATTAGAAAAATATGATGTTCACCATAAAATTCGTTGATATTGAAATGATTCTTATTAATGATAGCATAACTGATAGTAAGAATTTACTAAATAAACTATTTGAGAGTTTTTGTTTTGATGTAATTTTGGAAATTGAAACATCAGTGTTAAATTTTTTCTACGAGCTCAATATTTTCAGAAATCAATAATCTTTCATTATTACTAATCATTGTATTGCTAAAGGATAAAGGCTGATATATGCTCAATTCAGCTTCATATCACCTTTCCACTTCGCAGATATCAAATATATGATCAAGCTTAAAGATTTATTTCGAAAAAAAAAATTGAAAATCTATTTAGAGTTCATTATAAGAAAATCTTTACAGTCCAGCTTTTTCCAGTCTTGCTAATTCTCTTTTTTGATCAATATAAATCTAAAAAAACAGAAAATAATTTTAGATAAAAGATATAATAGATATTCACATACTTTATTGAGTGCTTCTAGTAATTGATCAATTCTATCAGGAAAATTTTCAATTGGATCAAAATATTGCGAACGCATTCGACTATCTCTTTCTTCTTGAATTTCTTCTTGATTTAATTTTTTCAGACCTAAAATATTAATAGAAAACTGTTTTACTAAGATACGTCAATCTTGAGAGTGTGTGCCGAAGTCTTTTCTTCAGTCATACTCACATCCACCTACATCCGCACCCTCAAGAGAAGCTCTGAAGTCATCCAATATGAAGAGGTTTAGATTACAACTTTAAGATCCTATTAAATCTGCTACAGGACATGAATAAATCTACATACCTGTCCATCGCAAAAATTTCGTTAGCATAAATGATAACATAATTTGATCTTCTTTTTGATTATCTTTCGCATGATGAAAACTATCAATAATTATTGTAAAAAACATACTTAAGCAAACAAAAACAACTAGAAGCATAAATAATGTAAAACAGAATGGACCAAGAAAAGCATCAGCTCCAGATATTTGTGATGCGTCAAATTTCATTAATGTCATTTCAAAAAGCATTTGAGCAGTTTGTAATAAACTTGAACAGGTTGAAAGTTTTGATACAAATAATAAATAAAATAAACTAAGAAATGCCATAAATACAATTGTAAACATTAGTGAAAATGAAATCAGTTCCTTTGCACAAGATTTCAATGTTTCAGCAAATAAAGATACTCGCTGATTAAAACGAAATAATTGAACAAATTTAATCATACTAAAAAAACAACAATAACCAAGAAGAAATGTTAAAACATCATTAACATAAACTGCAAGTTGTAAATTGATATAAACATAACCATTTGTTTGTTCAAATAATTTACTTATACGATTTGTTTCTTGAAAACGCCAAAAATAAACTCCAATACTTCCCAATGAACAACCAATGATACCTAATTGAATTAGTGACCAAAATTGACGAAAATATTTTAATCTTAATTCAAGTACTAATCGGATTTCAATTATGATAAAATAAATAATAAAAAATATATAAAGAATTGTACAAACTAATTGTAATATTGACGTAAATGCTAAATTTAAAAAACAAAAATTTATTTGTCTTTAGAAATAAAAACTCAAGAGTAAATTACTGTAGAAATTAATTGGTTCGAAACGAGCTGTTGTATAAATACCACCTGTTGGTAAAAATTCAGCAAGTAAAGTAACTGCAGTTAATAATTGAACACTTGGATTATATAATGTTAATTGAATAAAAACAGCTCTTGTTTTCTCATCAATCCAATCTAATTGATGAAGTGCAGATAAATTTGTTTTCATATCAGATAAACGACCACGAAATTCATAGACATAACCACCTCCTCTATATGTTCCAAATTCACCTGCATATGAATATGTATCTAATTCATCACTCGTAGAATAGTTAAATGCTTTTATCACTGATGAACTGAATTCTTCGGTCGTCGCATTTGTTGTCCATCCTGGTTGAAATAATTGTGTTTCTTCATTAAAAAAACTATAACTATCTTCACATATTGAAATAACACGTTGATCGGAGCATAGTTCTGATTTAATACGTAGTTGTCTCATTGTTGCCCAACCAATTAATCGACTGGATTTATCATTTAAAAATCCATTTAAATATTGTGGAACATCTCCATTATACCATTGTTGTGCACGAATATTTGAAACAAAGCTATTTTCTAACCAATACCAATATTCATCGATTGTATTGATCTAGAAAAACAAAATTTATTTTCAATACAAGAAAAGAAGAACAAACTTCAGTATAATCAGCAGTCGTTTGTCTTTGATTGAGAAAATAAGCTCGTAAATGATTGACTTGAAAAAAACTATTTTGTTCACGATTTGAATAAGTTATTAAAAAAACTAATGTTGCAAATATAAAATAAATAAGAAATTCTCGAATAATTGCCCACATTTGAATTTCTTTTAAACGTTGATCACGAGCATTAGCAATTTCATTTTCATTAAGACGATTAATACTTTTTAAAGATGGAGTAGAAAATAATGATTGATACTACAAATGGAAAAATAATTTTTATATAGAATTATAAAAGAAAACAAACCTCAAGTGAATGAAGATACTCCTCATCATTGGATAAATTAAATTCATCATCTTCATTTATATATTCACTTGTTTCTTTCTCATCTTTTGAATTTCGACAGAAACATATAAAGAATATAACCAAACATATAATCTGCAATACAATATATATTTCAAAAATATAGATTAAAAGAAATAGAAGGCATACTTTAATAGGTTGAGTAAGAATAATCGATGAGAAAAATCCAGTAAGAACAGATGTCAACCATTGTTGAGTTTTTACATCACCAAATTCAATTCCTCGAACAATAATAAAAAATATTGAAATAGCAATAATTATCATTGAAAGACCATAAGCAATAAATAAACACCACCAAGGAAATGTTATCGGAGATTTTTTTTTCTTTATTGCAGGGACATTTGTCGAACTACTATAAATAAGAATGTGAGTGTCGATGAATGTATTTAGAAATATATACGAACGTTTGTTGAGATGGTTGTATCTTATATAATGCTTCACGTAATCGTGAAACTTGTTGACGAGGTCGAATACGTCGAAAGAGTTGAACAACTAACAGACTTGGAATCAATGTAAATAATTCGACCATTATGCCAATTCCAATCTTAAATATATGAAATGCTTTCATTAATCAGAAATTAAAAATTTCAGAGGCATAAGAGTGTGAATATAGTCTATATTTTTCGCTATAAAAATCAATATATACCTGTTGCGGTGCTATATAAAAAGGACCAATTGATAATGCACCACTGTGTGTTTCACTTGATGCTTTCGCTGCATTTGCTAAGTCATAATACATAATATTAAGTAACATTGAACTAAAGAATAAAACAAAACAGCAAGTACATCGTTGAGTACGTGTAAATTTATTTGATGGTGGACGAGAAAATATTGAAAACCATAAATGACCATCGGAAACACTATGATAAGCTTTTTTTGATAATAAATATGAAAAGCCTTGTTTTTCTGCTTCACTAGCAATTGGTAAAGTTCGTTCAATCTAAATTGAAGACAAAAATATGAAATAGTATGTTGTCTACTACGTGACTTACTCGTCCATCATCTTTTTCAACTGCAAGCCATTGTTGACAAATAAAATAGGATTTATCCAGAGTTTGTAAATCTCGAACAATAATATATTTTAAATACCATGATGCTGAAGAACCTAAACCTGAATTATCATGCCAAATACGAATATAATCCAGTAATCCCAATGATCTATATATTAATCTTTTATAAAAATCTTTGAAAAAATTATAATTTTACTTTGGAACAGCAATAATAAAAGAATCAATTCCACCACGTTGAAAAATTTTTCGATGAGGATCAGAAAATAATCGAACTTGTGTCTGATCATCATCACCCGATAAAATAAAATAAACCTTGCAGAAAGAAAAAAAAAAGTTTCGTTAAAATATTTTCTTTGTATTATATTACTTTTGAATCTGTTCCAGCATTTGTTCTTTGGCCAGTAAAAACAAGAATTTGATATAAATATTGATCAGATTTATTATTATCAGCTAATGGTGTTACTCCCAACTAAAAAAAGCACAAATTTTGACTCTGTAAAATATATGAAACATGATTTTTTTGTTTACTTTTTCAAAATCTTTCTTATCTTTAAAACGTGCATAAATCATTAAAATAATATAAAGTAATACACTGACTATCATTGTTAAATAAACTGTTTTATTTTTCGAAAAATCAGCATCTGCAAAAACATAACTCCAATTAATTGGTGCAGGTAAAACAATAAAACCACCAGCAAATGATGTTAAATGAGTTGAAAGACATTCAGTTTCATAATGGTTTGTCGACGATCCGACCTATAGTTAAATAAATATCAAATATATTTTATTTTCCTAATCTATCTTATACTTACAATTAATCCATCTGATTTCCAATTATTACTTTCATCAAGATAATAACAACCTGATGTATATATACGAAGTTCATAATTTGATGTAAAATCATATGGTTTATCAGTGATTGGTAAAGACGTATTTATTGAAGAATTATTTATACAATAATTATTAATTTCTGTTGAATTTAATTCTCTTATTCCAAATATTAATGATTGATGACCGAGTGTTTGTTGATTATCAATAAAATATCGATATATATCATCATTGGTTAAATCTATAATTACAAAACAGAAATGTATATGAATGTTCAAGAAAAGAAAACATACTGAAGGGACAAAAAATTGTCCATCCATCAATAAGATTAATTGAACTATTTAATTGTGGTGTTTGATCGAATTTATAAATAAATAAGTAAGCAAGACTTCGATTTAAAGAATGAATTTCAAAATGAACTGAAATCGGGAGAGAACTTGTTATATTAATATAATGATAATTGAATAATAAATTATTAATCGTTGAATTAATTGATGTAACATTTTGTAAATACATTGATGGAATTAATACATTTGGATCACGAGGAATAATCAATTGTATTGGAT